AATATATAGAAATAGTCTGATTGTCCGGGTCAATGAACTGTCAAAGTTAAAAGTTCCCATTTGAAAACTAAGGTGGTGTGGTCAGCTGGAAGATGTTGTGAGAAAGAATGATCAAGATAACTTAAAAAATTGTGAAAGAATTGAAAATATGAATTTAAAAATTGTCATCCGACATGCATAACATAGATTAAAGGGCGGTAGTCGTCGCGCCACGCATGCGCGAGATATATGGGTCTCATATAAACAAAGATGGCGACTTTGACTGTTGTGCAGATCAACGAGTACAAACTGAGGCGTTGCCAAGCTTGAATTAGGTATTTTTAGGTGATAGGAAGGTATTGAATGAGTCACCAGCGGTAATTAGTGTGAGTCATGCCCAGGTCAAACCTCATACTTGTGATTTCCGTTAGAAAAGCGCATTGGATTGCGGAAAAATCAATGTTTATCAACACAAATGTCGCACATGCGCAGCGCGAGTCGCCCTTTAAATCCAAAATAGCAACTCGTGTCATAGGATATTTGTAATTATTTGCCATATTTTCGATGTAAAACAGTTAATTCAACAACAAAAGTGACAAAACTAGAACATTTTAAAAATATTTTTTGTCATGATAGTGAGTGCCAAAACCAAAGCTAAGAAGTAATAATCTGAATCTTAACCACTGTAATATTGGTCCCAGCGGGCAATGGGGGAGAGATTTTTTACATACACTGTACCTGTAAAAGTGATAGGGGTGTGCAACCAGCACTTTTAGATCCCTAGGCCTTTCACAGACTATGGTTCTGATTTTATAGCTGAAATTATAGACCACTCTCCAGACACTTTTATCCAAAAAGTGGACCCCTTCTTGCAACATAGAGCTATCTAATGGAAGTAAATGGAATGCAATTTATTGTTTACTAAGTCTTAACTTCGCCAGCCAGGGTCCATTTATTTGGCCAAAGCCTCATTATACATGGGTCGGTTATGAATGGGCTGCTTTAGCGAAACCGTGCGATATGAATGATGGGACAGTCCATTAACAAAAATATGACCTTGAACTTTCAATCGTGAAATTTCGACTTTAGTTTGTAATCCAAAAATTGGGGATTATAATGTTGTTTTCATGGTAGTTTCTGTAAACAGTTTTCTCATATGCAAGACTTGAATGAAAACTGATAGAAGCAGCTAGTGATTAATTCATTTCACAACCCAGCACCACCAAACCATCACACCATCCACTCAACGCCAGGGAATCATGACAATACTGCCTTACTTATTTTTTCTGCGAATATTACTTGTTTTTTCTCGTTTTTAAATGCAGCTTTCACCAATAAAGTGCTTAATAGACTGTATCCATCAGAACCTTTGCTGCAGAGGACGAGTCTGCTTAACGTTGATCATGCTAAGATGATTGAAGGACCTTTTGAGGTAAAGACAAGTGTAAAAGCTAAGGCATCACAAAATACATGTAGTTTAGTAGACAATCTTCACCACTCCCATAGATTATACACAGTTTGTATGCCACCTGGAGGGGTTTCTATGGTAACAGAAGAAGGCCCATGTGATGATGAGGATGAAACATCAGAAAGTTCACTATCTGAATCAGGTTAGTGCATTGGTCACATATATTTGTTGATTTCACATCCAGATCTAAGCTTGCTGTGATTTATCCAGCTACATTTAGCTTGCTCAATGGAATTCACTGTATATGAAAATATTATTTCTATAACCTAATGTTATCAGTGGTGAAAATTTGCTGAAGTTGTCCATTGCTCGATTTTCAGGGCATGTAAAAGAAATGTCCATAGTACTGTTTTCATTTGTTCATTACACACTGAAGGTAATTAATGGTCTTAAAAAAATATATAAAATGAAAAATATTTTATCTTATGGGGATCAATACTAAAATTTATTTATGAAGTTGTCACGAAAGCACATTTTTTTTTTTAATAAAGTCATTGAGAATGTCACACCCCCACTGTTTTTGTTTTTTAATATACGACAAATGAAATGTCAGCAGTTAGGTGCTTCTTGTTGTACAAGTGTATGTATGAGTTATCAGTGTTTTTGCTAGCTTTGTACTTATGAATGGGATCAATACTCTTCTAAAATCAAAATAGAGTGGGATTTTCTTTATAGGGGAGTTGGGTTTGTGTGTGTGTGTCTGTCTGTGTGTGTGTGGGTGGAGGTTTCATTAACATTAATCTTTCCCAAAGAGTAGTACACATGTTTTTTAGTATTCTTAATATTCTCGACTGTTTGCAATTGTTATCATGTTCTCCACTTTGTGTTCTGAAATGTATGTAATTTTTGAAATAAAATAAATTACAGTTCCCACTATAATTTTATTCAATATATTAATGTGGATCTAAATTCTGCAGGTTACCATTAAATCAGAGAAATCCTGTCTATACATTATGTTCCATGACTCATTGGAATAAATAATTGCCAAACTACTAATTTGCTAACACTATGGTTTATAAATTATCAAGCTTAGTTATATTTCTTTCTATAATTTTTTAATTCAATCGGCTACAGGTTTTGATCAGAATTTTGTTTGAAATATGGAAACAAATTTTGGTTTTATCACCTTGGTTCTTATCATCGTTGATGAAATTCAAGGTGCAGGAAAGGACTATGTCTGTTCTCATTATTAGCCCACATCTGGACAAAGTCCGGGAGGGGGCTTGTAGTTTCGCCTTTGTCAGTCCGTCAGTCCGTCCCGAGTGATTTTTTGGAGATGGCTGGACTGTTTTTTTTTTAAAACTTGGTACAAAGACATACTGGTGGTCATCCATACATGTGCAAGTCAATTTATTTTCCGATTCGTCCAAATATGGCCGACTGGCGGCCATTTTCAATGCCAAAATTCAGTCAAATTCAGTCCTTGTGTGTCCATTGTCATTTCTCTGAGATGGCTTGACCGATTTTGTTGAGACTAGTTACAAAGATAAAGGGACCACCCATACAGATGCACGTTGTTTTACTTTTTTGAAATGATCAAATATGGCCGACTGGCAGCCATTTTGATTGTTAATCATGGCTTTTTTGATATTTATCAGAGATGCCTTGTCTGATTTCAATGATACTAGGTACAAA